TGATGTTCTGAAGGCTGTGTCTTGCTGTGTCGTTCGTTCCCACGTGGGGCTCACTGTTATGGAATGAATGCTTGGAATTGTAGTTTGGTGGGACACCAGAGTTCTCTGACAAAGAATGCTAAATGTCTCACAAAAGTACAAATCCCAGAATCCCATAGCATTGAGCCATGGCAGTTAAAGTGGTGTCAAACTGCATTACTTCTGCAGTATGGATGCAGCCTATGGAATTTATTTATAAACCCAAAGCACAGACAAAACACAAAGAAACCAAAGGAGAGAAGCTAACTGCAAAGCTGAGAAAATGTGTTTCATATCAGACACTCCAGGCCTCTTTACCTTGCCATTTTGCCTGTTTTTTCCCTTTTGGTAGCAGGACTTGTCTTCTGGCTTCCTCTAAGTCTCTCTTGGTTTATATCTCCCTTGGGTATCTCCCAACTCTGGCAGCCAAGAAAGGCCTCAGACAAGCTGTTACACGAATCTTGAGTCACAGGCCTTCATTCTCTTGCAACACAAGTCCAAAGGAGATATCTGAATCCCTTCTACTGTCTTGTAGCTTCTGCTTTCCACGTCCTCTCCTTCAGGGGCCATCAGTGGTCTCTTATTGGCCTCTTCATCCCTCTACTCCACACAGACTTTACCTGAGTTGGCACAGGTAAGGTGTGTTGAGTCCTACTGAAATTGTTATTATTTTCTTCATCTATATTCCACCTACCACAGTCAGGCATCATGGCATAGTAGTTTGAGCATTGGACTATGACTAAAGACCATGGTTCGATTCTTCATTTGGCCATGAAACCCACTGGGTGACCTTGGGCATGGCATATGCTCTCAGAGGGAGTACTGGCAAACCTCCTCTCAATAAATCTTGCCAAGAAAACCCCATAGTAAATTCAATTTGTGTGCCTTGTGTGTGCCTTCAAGTTCTTTCAGACTTATGGTAAACCTATTATGGGGTTTTCTTGGCAAAATTTAGGGTTGCCGTAAGTCAGAAATGACTTGAAGCCACGCAACAACAACAAACAAACAACATACCCAGCCTTGAGTCCCACCTTGGGACTCAAGGTGGCTAACAACATTTTAAAACAATACAGGTTAACAACACTATAGAAGTTAAATGAGAGTACAAAACACACAATTAAGCAATCAAATATTGAAACAATTACAAATCCTAAAATGCATTAAAACAATATATATAAATACACACACAGACTCTTCAAAAACTTCAAAACCAGCATCACACAGCATTATGAGCCCAACCTCATCCATCTGTAAAGGCCTAGCAGCACAAAAATGTCTTAACTTGCTGACAGAAAGAGAGCAAGGACGGGGCCAGCCTGGCCTCTTTGGAGAGGGAGCTCCACAGTTTGGGAGCAGCCACCAAGAAGACTCTACAGGGATATACAGTTCCCACCAATTGATAGACTCTACAGGGATATACAGTCCTTCAAATAGCCTGGACCCAACCCATACTGTTCCACGGGGCCACATCTGTTAAAGCTCCTTTTAAGATGCAGAAATACACATGAGAAACGTACTTGATTTTTGCTAGGCAACATGACAGCATGTCTACTAAGGTAACTCTTGCTGCTTTGTTTGATGGTCCAAGGAGACATAACCATGGAAACACCCTTCTAAGCCAGAGGAAAGTCTTGCAACAAAGGGACAGGCAAACACTGCCATTTGTATGCAACACCAGAGGGAAAGATTACTCACTCCAGAAGGCTACAACCTCTGATTTGGAACTATAACTGTGACTGCACCCATGAGCATCTTATT